ATCCTAATTGGGATGTTTTTGTAGAATGTACTAAAATCAACAATATATGATTTACATATTTAATTTTGACATTTATGTAATATCATTTAAATAAAAGTTTTGACGGACCAAATGACAACTTTATGCTGTATAAACATTTTTATTCATTTAAATATATACAGTTGAAGTCAGAATTATTAGAATTTTTTTTCTTTTTTAAATATTTCACAAATAATGTTTAACAGACCGAGGAAATTTTCACAGTATATCTGATAATATTTTTTTCTTCAGGAGAAAGTCTTATTTGTTTTATTTTGACAAGAATAAAAGCAGAATTTACCACCATTTAAGGTCAAATTTATTAGCCCCTTTAAGCTATATATTTTTCGATAGTCTACCGAACAAACCACCATTATACAGCGATTTGCCTAATTACCCTAACCTGCCTAGTTAACCTAATTAACCTAGTTAACCCTTTAAATGTCACATTAAGCTGTACAGAAGTGTCTTGAAACATATTATATACCACAGTTCTGTCTGGTTCTCAAATCTGATTGGCTGATATTTGTGCGATATTATGCAATATCAGAACTCCTACAGCCTCTTTACCTTTTGTGTATTACTCCACCCACATACAACCAGCAAAAAGCAGACTCTACAGGTCTAAAGTTTAAAAGATGCACGCTCAACTGTTTAACTGTCAGCTTATGATTTGAATCCGGAAGAAAGTAGTTCCTCATACAAAAGAGTTTTTGAGACTCTCCATGTTTGATTTTGTTCTTATATACACAATTATGCAATCAAACTGTTGTATAAACGCAATATCACACTCGTAGCAGGCCTCGTACAGCCATATCGCACTGGTACTCGTGTGATATTGCTCATATGTATATATATATATATATATATATATATATATATATTTAGATATATAGATGGCAACTTTGCCCCTGTCCCATTTTTTTAGGTGTGTTTTAGCCATCAAAAACAAAGTGTATAAATTTGGAAAATACTTGTTTGTCATCAAAAGCTCTGGAAATATTATATTTGAACTTTTTTTAGTCAGTCAAGCAAAATCAAATCTAAGATTCTTGATTGAAGCTTTTTCTTTTTTAGGTTCATCTTAGGTCAGACATTAAAATATACATAATATTGATACATATACGCACTGATACTATTCACCAAACAAGAAATTTTCAGGAAAACATAATTTTACACTAAATAATTATATAAATAAGGATAAAACTCCACATTTATACACAAAAATATACAAACATAAGATAACGAAAGTAAAAGAATAAACAAATAAAAACCAATAAAAATAAATAATACAAAGAAAAGAAAGATAGAAAGGCAATTAAGACATAGGTGTCTCCTTAAAAAAATTTAGAAACGGGCTCCAGACTTTCTGGAACTGTTCTGGCTTTTGTTTTATCATTGAAACTTTAAAAATGTTGATGAAAAATGGAAACAAAAAAACATGAAAAAACTACAATGGCCAACATATGAAACACATTCAGTGATATCTGCACTGAAGATGCGTCCGAAATCGCCTGCTACTCAATAGGTACTGCATTTGAATTCAAATGTACTACTCAACTGCAAAAAAAAAAAGTACTATACAGTATGAATGTGAGTAGTAGGAATGGAACTACATCCGCCATTTTGTCATGATCATATGACCTACCCTTGTCAGTTGCGCTGCTTTACTCTCATTCATGAATTCTCTAACAGGGCATCATGGGATAGCGGTGTGTAGTTCCCATGTGCACCTCAGAATCTCGTCGAACATACTACTCTGCTCGCATACCGTTTTTAGTGAACTATACAGTATGGAAGTATGCGATTTTGGACGCAGCCTGTATGTAAGTTGGATGTGCTTGCCATGAAACTTCCCTTCATGTGTAAACCGTAAGCTCAGCTTGATGTTCAGCTAAATGTTCATAAATGTTCATTCTGTCGACATTCTGTTAAACAATGCAATGTAGTTCCTTGAAATAAAACAACTTTTTTATTTTTGATTTATCTAGTGATATGCTTCTTGTGCTAAAAATAAAACACATCCAGTATTTGACAGTTAGATGAAGATTCCTAGATGAAATTCCATAACTAGACTTGAATGGGGGTGTTAAATCAATATCAGGAAAAAGTATCCTTACTTAGCAATCTACAAACCTTAATTTGTCCGGCTCCATTAAATTAGGAATGCATTAGCTTCTTCTGTGTTGTCTCCAGGGCAATGTGTGTGAGGACTGGATGACGGTGTATTGCTGTTACCCTCTGGCCCTCTGTCAAATGATCAGAGAGATGAAGAGGAGGCTGAAGACACAGATCTACACAGTGTCTACTGCACTGGAAAGCTCCTGAGAATGGTGTGTTTGCACTGGTTTTGGTGGTTTAGAATGACAGACATTTGTATAGTGACATTGGTCTTTGACCTAGGTATTAAAACAATGAGGTGGTTTATGAGGACATGCCTTATGTAATTCAAAACACTTCATACTTTTTTCAATGGGGACTTTTGGCATATGCCACTGGTTTCCTGTAAGGGGTTAGGGCTAGGGTAAGGCCATATGCAATGTACATGGTAAAATACATTATGCCTATGGAGAGTCCTTGTAAACACCCAATGCTGATGTGTGTCTGTACATGTTTGTTGTTTATGAGCACACAAAATTGTATAATAACAAGGGGATGACCTAGTTGTATTCAATTAAGCGGGTTTATGAGGACATATCTTGTGTCCATGTAATTCTAAACCCTCAAAAATCATATGTAATGGGGTCTTTTGACATTTAAAGTTCGCTACAGGTTTGTTTTGTGGGTTGGGTTTAGGGGTAGGACTATAACATAAGCAGTGTGTGTGTGTGTTTACTTATTATTTATGAGGACAACAATTGGTGTAATGGTGTGTATGATCTTGGGATTAACATATTGAGGTGGATTATGAGGACATGCCTTATGTCTCTGTAATTCAAAAGACTTATAAATTATACTCTTCAGGGGCTTTTAACATATGCCACAGGTTTCCTTTAAGGGTTGGGTTTATGGCTATGGCTAAGGTAAGGTCATATACAATGTACATGGTAAAATACATTACGCCTATGGAGAGTCCTTGTAAACCCCCAATGCTGATGTGTGTCTGTACATGTTTATTTTGTTTATGAGCACACAAAATTGTATAATGACAAGGGAATGACCTAGTTGTATTCAATTAAGCGGGTTTATGAGGACATATCTTGTGTCCATGTAATTCTAAACCCTCAAAAATCATATGTAATGGGATCTTTTGACATTCAAAGTTCGCTACAGGTTTGTTTTGGGGGTTGGGTTTAGGGGTAGGACTATAACATAAGCAGTGTGTGTGTGTGTGTGTGTGTGTGTGTATGTGTGTTTACTTGTGATTTATGAGGACAAAAATTTGTGTAATGTGTGTATGACCTAGGTATTAACATGTTGAGGTGGATTATGAGGACATGCCTTATGTATCTGTAATTCAAAACACTTATAAATTATACTCTTCGGGGGCTTTTAACATATGCCACAGGTCTCCTGTAAGGTTTGGGTTTATGGCTAGGGCTAAGGTAAGGTCATATGTAATGTACATGGTAAAATACATTATGCCTATGGAGAGTCCTTGTAAACCCCCAATACTGATGTGTGTCTGTACATGTTTATGTTGTTTATGAGCACACAAAATTGTATAATGACAAGGGGATGACCTAGTTGTATTTAATTAAGCGGGATTATGAGGACATACCTTGTGTCCACGTAATTCTAAACCCTCAAAAATCATACGTAATGGGGTCTTTTGACATTCAAAGTTAGCTACAGGTTTGTTGTGTGGGTTGGGTTTAGGGGTAGGACTACAACACAAGCAGTGTGTGTGTGTTTACTTGTGATTTATGAGGACAAAAATTTGTGTTATGGTGTGTATGACCTTGGTATTAACATATTGAGGTGGATTATGAGGACATGCCTTATGTCTCTGTAATTCAAAACACTTATAAATTATATTTTTCAGGGGCTTTTAACATATGCCACAGGTTTCCTGTAAGGGTTGGGTTTATGGCTAGGGCTAAGGTAAGGTCATATACAATGTACATGGTAAAATACATTATGCCTATGCAGAGTCCTTGTAAACCTCCAATGCTGATGTGTGTCTGTATATGTTTATGTTGTTCATGAGCACACAAAATTGTATAAAGTCATGGGGATGACCTAGTTGTTGTATTCAATTAAGCTGGTTTATGAAGACATAACTTGTGTCCCTGTAATTCTAAATCTTTAAAAATCATACGTAACAGGGTCATTTAACGTTCAATGTTTGTTACAGGTTTCCTGTGTTGGTTGGGTTTAGGGGTAGGACTTTAAAATAAGTAGTGTGTGTTTACTTGTGATTTATAAGGACACAAATTTGTGTAATGGTGTGTACAGTATGATCTAGGTATTACCATGTTAGGGTGGTTTATGGGGGCACACACCATGTCCTTGTAATTAAAAACTGTTTGTAATCAGTTTTTTTGGACTTTCAAAGAAAACATGATATAATAAATGGATTTTCCTGTAAAAAATACACACTTCTGCACTTCTGGAGAGTCCTCATAAATCACAAAACCAAACTGTTTGTGTTTACATGGCTCATATTTTCTTCTCATCCATGTTTTTGGCAAGGCTAAAAGACTGAAGGCCATCATTGCTGTCAGGATGTTTATTACCCGGGGTCCTGAACTTCACGCAGGGTTAGACATATCAGTACTCTCTGCTTGAAGATTGATGCCGCTGACATTTCATTCTGACTGCGAGACGGAGTGACATATGGGTGGAGAGACGGATGAGAGGAGAAGAGCTGTCTGATTTCTGGGACGGTGTATGCTTTGATTTCAGATCGCTCTTTCACAGTACATAAACATATGCCTGTACCACTATATGGATTCTGTCAGCTTTTAATCGTATTTTAAAGACAAAACTGATTTTTTATATCTCATCTGCTCTACAATAAAGTGTTTTTAAACAATTTACTTTTATGTATAGTTTTTAGTAGCATATATTTTTGATGTATTTAATTTTAGATTTCAGTGATTTAATTTCCTTTACATATTTAAACTTACAAATAGCGCACCAATGATTTCATTTAGAATTCTAATTTAGGTTTATTTACCGTTTCAAAGTTTTTATTATATTACTAGTTATTTAGATGGATATTTAATATTATTTCGTAATTTTGTTTTCAGTAAAATTACTTAAATCCAAGGAAAATCTGATCGGCTGATAGCCTTGTACAATAGAGCTTATTTAAAAGGAAAGTGCCTACTTTTAAATATTTATAATTTTGGAGATTCACCACGTTCGCGCTTATCAGCCTGTCGTGCTGAGCCGAGCAAAGACAATTGAAGCTCCACGACAAGAAGATGACAGAGACCACATAATAAATCCTCAGATGAGGATAACGGTGTAAATTTCAAGCCACAGATGATCAAATCATTCTAAAACAGGTAAGTGATATTCTAAGTCGATCTTTCTCTTTTGTATGTTAAAGCGCTATATGTATACCATAGTAATTGTAGTGTATTGAGTGTGAGATGGGACTCGCATATCAGGAGTGTATGTATTTTGTGTTGGCCACTCTTTGTATAACTCTGAGTTACATTTTGGTTGACCATTTGTTTGTTTCTAATTAGTCTTATGTTTTCGTTACAGCAGACTAGTTCAGTAACAAGAAAGAAATAAGAAATGCCAGCATGTGTTTAGTGTTTTTCCTCACTGCAAACACACTGCATTGCTTTGACATTTTTGGGGTTAATTATTTTGATCTCCCGATTGCAACCGAGAAATACTGGGAAATCTCATTTCATGCCATTTAGCCTTAAAATCCTAAAATGTCAGCAAAATCACCTGTTTTGTCATCTCTTTAGACATGATGCTAGAGAATCATTCATAGTGACGTTTGTGAGTAACAGTTTTGGCTGTTCTGACATCAGCTGCAGTTGTGAAGGAATGGTGGAACAAAGTAATTCCTCATACAAAGGTAAATTTGTAGACTCTCCGTATTTCAAACGTAATTTCACACAAGTAGCAGTGCAATGTGGCTGTAGATCGTCACTGGTGGGACACTAAGGCACTTGGACTGTGGCCTCATGTCAACGCACGCCTCCCACCAGTGCCGATATACAGCCATAGCGCACTGCAACTCGTGTGATGTTGCTCATATGAGTAATATCACATATACATACATACATATATAATTTATTTTACAAACGGCTTTAAAAAAGTACACACAAATATTTCATTTTAGAATTATGGTTATTTTCATTTATTAATAATATATTTAAAAAATTCCATTTATAATTTAATGTTTCACTCGTATGTGGATGTAAAGTACTATATTTTTTATTGTATTTCATTTAAACCACAAACATATTCATTCATTCATTCATTTTCTTGTCGGCTTAGTCCCTTCATTAATCCGGAGTCGCCACAGCAGAATGAACCGCCAACTTATCCAGCACATTTTTATGCAGCGGATGCCCTTCCAGCCGCAACCTATCTCTGGTAAACATCCACACACACACACTCATACACTACGGAAAATTTAGCCTACCCAATTCACCTGTACCGCATGTCTTTGGACTGTGGGGGAAACCGGAGCACCCGGAGGAAACCCACGCGAACGCAGGGAGAACATGCAAACTCCACACAGAAACGCCAACTGAGCCGAGGATCGAACCAGCGACCTTTTCGCTGTGAGGCGACAGCACTACCTACTGCCCCACTGCGTTGCCACAAACATTTTCTACATGATCTATTATGTGGTATAATAATAACATTTTTTTTATTGCTTAATACTACTATTAATAATAATACCATATTTTGTTTTTGCTGTTGTTGTTAAACCCAACATTTTTATGGCATGTGTCTACCTTAAAAATGCTAACTGGAGCAAAAAGTGTCTAGCAACCTCCTGATATAAATGATTTAAAGCATCCATCATGGTTTTCAAGGTTGCATGTCATCTAAAAACCCTGGACACTCCCTGATCTCCTGGTGCAAAAAAAGTGTGTGTGCGCTCGCTTCTGTAGAGGGCACTGTTGCCACACTCTTTGCCCCGGTGTGTTGTTGAGAGAGTGTGTGCTTCTGTGCAAGAGACGACAGGTGTATGGATGCTGTCAAGGGGTTTCTGTGAAGCCCCTGGGGAACATGGGAGCACTGGAGCCGCAAGCACTGCAGATACAAAACCAGGGAGGTGAAAAATGAGGACATGAGCGACTGTGAGGAAAGATCATGGCGAGTTTCAGGAAACCGCTCGTGTACTTTCACTGAGAACCAGCTTTCTTTCTTTCTTTCTTTCTTTCTTTCTTTCTTTATGGCTTAAATGAAATCATAATTTTAATTATGCCTTAAACTGATGACTGGAAATTAGAAACAGTATATCAGAATATATCATAATTGTTATCAAATCAAAACTCATTCATTCATTTTTTTGTCGGCTAATTCTCTTTACTAATCTGGGGTCGCCACAGCGGAATGAACCACCAACTTATCCAGCAAGTTTTTACGCAGAGGATGCCCTTCCAGCCACAACCCATCTCTGGGAAACATCCGCACAAACATTCATACACACACACTAGGACAATTTAGCCTACCCAATTCAAGGAAATGTCACAGTAAAGCCGTATGGGTCGTTCACATATCATATAAGAAGCACTTCTCACAAAACAGATGTTTAATACACATAAATACTTATGTATAAATGTTCATTACTAACCTTTCTATCAACATGATTTGATTGGAACTGCAGATCAATGATCAATGAACGAAATCTACTGTAACGTCTGCCATTATATGAAATAAATAAATAAATGCAACATATATGAACACATAATTTACAGCCCCTTGCAGTCTCTGATATGTTACTAAAAACAGAAAAACTACACACAGCAGACATTTAGTCCTTATTTGGGTTCAAAAACAACACAAAATATAGCCTACAGTCAGTGCAAACCTCTTATATGTGGTTTTAATCTTCAGCAGCACATATTGCGAGTTCATAATAGTCCAAAAGGTGATGATAATAGTTAAACCAACACAATCTCACAGCAATTCGTAACTTTTTCATTTGTAAGATTTGCCAAACTGGCTAATTTGTAAGATCTAATTCGTACATTTTAGTACGATTTGCTCATCCCCCAATGACGGTTGGGTTTAGGGGTGGGGTTAGGTGCCACGCCTCCTTTTTAAAATCGTACAATTTCGTACGACTGAACTCGTACAAATTCGTACGAATTAGCCACTAAACTGGCAAAACGTAAATACTTACATTTTCTCGGAAGATCAGGCTGGTTAAACATGGCAATTTGTTCATGTTTTAGGTTGCAGAAGCATCATTTGCTGCTGTTTTTTCTGACTTCTGTTGTTTTTTTGCACTTCACTCTCAAGTTTGTTCGCTTCTGAAAGGTTTTTAATGTTATTAATATGAACTCAAAGAGGTTATTATTTTAAATATAGACGTGCGGCGACCTCTCATGAGAAAGTGAAACCGCTCGCACTTTTAGATGGGCTCGTAAAACAACAATAGGATGTGGTAGATTTTGTCCTTCTTGGCTTTGTGGCTGTTCATCAAGATGACGACATGGTTTGTTTGAGCTCAGGTCGACTATAGCTTGGTATTTTATGTATATATTATTACGGTGTAATGTCTCGGGTGTGTTTTTAAAAATGGTGCTTCCTTTGTTTTGATTCTTCTGCTTCTGCGAGTGATGTATCTCTGAAAACCAATAGCCTTCAGCTGTGCATCTAGCTCTGCCTTTTGGTACCTTTTGTCCTGCTTGGCACCCTTTGCAAAGGGGTGATCAAAAAGTGGTACAGTACAGTTCGCCTTTAGGTACCCTTTGACAGTGGAAACAGCCTTAAAAGCATACCGAAACGTACCACAGTGGAAACGGGCTGTTTGACAGTGGAAACGGCCATAAAAGTGTACCGAACCATACCGTACCATACTATACCACTCAGTGGAAACGGGCCAATTGACAGTGGAAACAGCCATAAAAGTGTACCGAACCTTATCATACCATTCATTAATTTTCTTTTCAGCTTAGTCCCTTTATTAATCTTGATCCGCCACAACGGAATGAACTGCCAACTTATCCAGTACGTTTTTACGCAGCGGATGCCCTTCCAGCTGCAACCCATCTCTGGGAAACATCCACACACAATCATTCACTACCGACACTTTAGCCTACCCAATTCACCTGTACTGGATGTCTGTGGACTGTGGGGGAAACCGGAGCACCCGGAGGAAACCCATGTGAACACAGGAAGAATATGCAAACTCCACACAGAAATGCCAACGGACCCAGCCGAGGCTCGAACCAGTGGCCTTCTTGCTGTGAGGCAACAGCACTACCTACTGCGCCACTGCGTCGCCTGCTGTACCATACCATTCAATGGAAATAGACCACAGGTTAACTAGGCAAGTCATTGTACAAAAGTGGTTAGTTGTATAGCCAATTGCAAAACAAATAATTTATTAATGGAGCTAATAATATTATTTTATATTTTTTTAATTTAAAATTTAAATTGTATTTTATTCCAGCCAAACTAAAACAAAGAAGTCTTTCATCAGAAAAAAAGAAAATGATATATAGAATGTGAGATAAGGATTTCTCAGCAGGGCTAATATTTTTGCCTTCATCTGTATATACACTCACAAATGTCTAATACATCACAGATGTAGTATGTTAGAGAGATGAATTTGCTCTGCATTCTGTTTCATGAATTGTTCTCATGAAATCCTCCTGTGAAATATAAAATTGCCAAAAGCATCTATTTTATTTAACGTACACCATGCTGCAATAATGAGTTCCCAGCTCACAAACAGCAACAGCCCAGGAGGATACAAGAGCATCTATGGCACTTTCTGGAGCATAGATGCCCTGGAGAGATGGTGTCTTGCTGTGACGTGTCTCCATGTTTGTGTGTGTATCTCCTTAGCAGCCACGTGTACCCTTGATAATAACCCAGC